ATATATATAGTTAAGATATTGAAAGACAAATATATTAATATTATTTTACCAATTAGGACTCGAGCTAATACACAGAGAAGGTTGACACAGATGCCATCATTATTACATAAGAAATACAATAAGTCCTTATTCCTCAGATTCTCTGCTCAATCATTAAAACTCTAAAGACGGACCGATCATGCTACCGACCTCGTCAATGGCGGCTTCCGAACCTTGGTGGCCTGCTCGAAAGCCTAAGCTATTTCGATGAGCTTCGGTTCGAAACCTTTAGATCCGCCGAAGCAGATGCCGAGTGGAACGCCGTGGTTTGTATAACCAGCAGGGACAACAATTCCTGGGTAGCCACCGATGGACAGGATCGAAGCCGCTAAGCTGTTTGGAGTTACGAAGCCATCCAGCTTGTTCTCCCTCATTAGCTTCTCTAATCCATTAGCAGAATACTCGGCCAATCTCTTCAGAATCTTTTTCTCTACTATACCCATTCCGTTTGTCTTTTGGGCGGCCAAGAAGATATCCTGACCATACTCCGCTATCCTTTCCTGCATCCATTAGGCCAAAACTGAATCATATCTTGGTATGAAATTTCACGTTTTTAGAAAGTTGGCTATAAAGATATGCTTAGCAGTAAAGTTGAATTCAAGCAAGTTTGGAGAACATGCAGAATAAATGGGGAAGTGCTTACTTCAGCGCTGTGTTTGTTGTTGAAGTCGATGGCATCTGCAAGGGATCTAATGGGGGAGATTTCAAGTTCTGAGAGATAGACGTTTATTGAGAGCTTAAACTCAGCGTGGAGAGCTGTTTTCTCTCCACTTTTGAACATGTCCACTATAATGCTTGCATTCTCAATTTCCAAATCATCCAACAAAATTGCTCCTTTTTCCCTGTAATCATCAGCTTTCTTTAGTAGATTCTGAGGACAAAAATAAGACCCAAATGTTCCATATCACATTAAAAAAACTACTGTTTTAACACTTAAAAATTATAATATATCTTTTGAAACATAATTAAGAAGACATATATATGTAAAAAACTAAAATTTAGATGTTAGATATAAAATACAATTGCATTGAATGGTATATATGTAAATCTTTCAAACAGGAACAACAATAAAGATCAAATTTTGTATATCTCTTTAAATGCCCTCTACTTTTGACCAATTTCATTTTTGTTTTTTAAAGTGAACAATAATTTAAAAGTTACACTTTTAATGGTGAAAATCACATGAGATTCCATGGATGATAATGTAATTCATATGATTTAGTGCAAATAAACAGAAAAATAAACTTTGAAGGGTGTAAATATGGTTTCAAACCATTGTTCACACTTGTAATGATTCGTTATTTATATTTTTATTAATATATTTGTTTGTGTGATAGGGTTGTAATTGTGGTATATCATTGTTTAAACTTGGCTTGGTATAATTATAAATTGTTCATGTTTCGTTCGAACTTGTGTGGAGCTTTCATACAGTGTTCGAACTTGATCTGTTTAATTTGCATAATGCTTGAACTTAATTTGTATTTGATTTATGTATGAAAAATGAACGAGTATTTAAATGAGCTAATAAACAAGCTAAAAATTCAAACACGATTCTAGATTGCCATATAAAAAATTTAATAAATAATTTTGCAATTCTACTCGCCGATATTAATTTGTCGATTATGAACTCTAAACTCTCTAAACTTTACTAATTAGATACATAATTCTTATTGGTAAGACTACACTAATTCAAATTTGTAAGTGGAATAACTAATTTGATCATAAAAAGTATAGAGATGATTATATTAATAAGAAAATAATAACAATAATGTTGTTGATAATTGTGATGTGATTCATAAAAAATAAATTTTCATCTACTAGACAATCGTAGAATCAACTTGCTAATTTATCGGTCGAAAAAAATTAACCTGTAAATCTAAGTTTTTCTTTGGTTGTCCACTATTCTTCATCCTCATTGAAAGCGATCGGGTTTGATTGCGGAGTAGAGACATGAGCAACAATTCCTATGAAAAATTTACCACACTATGATTTATGCAATGAGTGGCGTTGCTCAACCTCCAAACAACAGTTGGACAGAAAAACAATTATCACTTCTAAGTCCAGAAAACAAGCATAAATTTCTTATAGATGTGAGTGAAACCATTCCTTCCTTAGCAACTGACTATATTTCTAGATTGTGGCATTTACATACTGTAGAAAATAAAACAGTGGAAAAACTCTTAAGTCTTTTTCTTTTTACTTTGTACGAGAGGGGATATATCTCTCTCTCTCTCTCTCTCTCACTCTCACTCACTCTCATAGACATTACAAAATAAGAATAAAACTAAAAAGAGCGAGAGAAATAAATAAGGGTTAGTGATCTTTCAGAAAAACACACGAATTATAATCTGAGAGTTATAGAGAGAGAGACTAATAGCATAAAGCCTCGGTCTATGTGCCCTAAGCTTTTTGCTATTTGAGGGTCAGAAGTAAACAAATTAAAAAATGCAAAGTTTTGATCCGTGTGTCTTAAATTATTTGTTATGACTGAAGAAGAAATACAACGCCCCCTCAAACTGGATGATAGAGATCCACCATTTCAAATTTACTTGTGATATTTTTAAATGTTAGGCTGCAAAATCCTTTAGTGAATATGTCGACCAATTCATTTCCTTTGATGTTGTCTCATATTAATACTAGTTCTTTCGAAAAAGTTGAATTTTTGTTCCGATTCAATTACATATTCACACTGCTTGCACTATGTCATCTTGATTTCTTTCAGCGGGTGTATAACATATTTCTGTTTGGATAGAAACATAAAAGGCCGACTAATTTTCAGTAGCATGGTGTTCCACAATCATGTCATGATAATACAATCAATTTCTTCCTAAAATAACAGTTTTGATTCTTTGGGTTTCAGAGAAAGATCCACAAAGTGTTTGATCTTCCTTGTTCTCTTTAGAAAAGTCTACATGATAATTTTTTTCGTTCAAGAAATAAAATGCTTAAAATACCCAAAGTTCTCCTTTAGCCTAATTTTCACAATTAATCATGATCGATTCTTTTGAAAGGAGATCAAATAACTCAAACATAGTGAATAAAAGGAGAATTTGGCAAGAGAAATAAGGTTGGAAGAGATCGACTACAGTGTAATTTCCTCAATTAGTAAAATCCTCTGCAACTCCGTGGATGTAGGCAATTTGCCGAACCACGTAAATCTGTGTGTTCTTTTGGTGTGAATTTTCTCGTGCTATTTTATTCGCTTCGTCGTCGATCGTTATAAATTTCATATACAACACAACATCTCTCACAGGCATTACAAAATAGGAATAAACAGTTTCTTTACAAAGGCTAGAGATGTATATACATCTCTCACAAACATTACAAAATAGGAATAAACAAAAATAGGAGGAAAAAATAAATAGGGGACGAAAACCCTTTAGGAAAGCACATGAATGACACTTCATGGGTCATAGAGATGCATATCTAATGGTATAGAGTCTCATCTGTGTGCTTTCAATTTTTTGTTATATGATGGTCATGAGTACACGGATCCAACTACACAAAGTCTTGATCCGTATGCCCTAAGTTCTTCGCTATAATTGGATTAGAAATTCAACACAAACATACCACCCAATTCCTATGTATTTACAAACTCAATATCTAAACTTTATCTTTTACATTTATACCAACCGAATTTTCATATCACATAAAATATATTACTATTTTAACTTGGAAAAAGCAAAGGAAACCATTTCAAGCATAGCTAAGGTGTCATATATGTAAATACAAAAAGAATTAAGTGGTATGTATGTAAATCTTTCTTCTGAATTTCATGATAACTGCAGCCAGTACCCAATTCTGGCGAGATTTTTTAATCAACCCGCAAGTGGAATTGTCTAAAAAAAAACTAGGTAGATATTTATTCAGTTTAAAGAGAACCTGGGAATAGGCTGATTCTGTGTTAATAAAAGGTTTGAAACCTCATATTTCTCCAATTAGTTTCTCACTTTCTTCTTCCAGATTTGAGTTGACTTCACAATTCCAGTCTTCCTTCTGTAAACTACATGGATAAAAAAGAAAATGCAAGCAGTTATGAGTTTAAGAGAATCAAAATGACAAAGACAACGTATGAAATAGAGAACCTGCTATTTGGGTAATTTTTTAGCTTCAAGAACTGGGTGGAAAGGGAATTTCCTATTGTCTTCCCAACAGGACTTTGATGAGGTCCAAATCAAGAGGCATCCACCTCTCAACTGAGAGCAAAACTGCAGGAAAACAACATCACAGATGAAAATGGCAGTCAATATGTAGTCTGGAAGATTTGACTCACAGATGAGGACCAATCTTGGTGAAATCTTGGACTCCACCATGGCTCCCTCCCCCCTTCTTCTCAGCTAAAGTAAGGAATTCCCCATAAGGGGCCGACAGGTAATTATTTTAAGTGGGATTTAATTTAAATTGTGCCAGACAGCAAAAAGATCACTTTTAAATTCAGTTTCTTCTTAGTTTTCTTCTCAGTTTTTCATAAATCCTGGATAGAGTAAATCCCCATTTACATGATTTTAAAGTGGCTAAAGCCGTTACCAAATGAACCCCAACTTTGTCAGAGTATACCATGAAATCCAAACCATAAGAACTGCCCCTGCTAACATAAGGCAAACACCTTAACCTTTAGGCGAACTGACTACTGAGTGACTCTTATTAATGAACAAAAGAAGAACAACAAATCTGAAAAAAGGAACAATGGATCAAGGATTTCCCCATACATGAGGTTGAATAAAACAAATGCTTGCCTATGTTTGACGGGGCATCACAAGCCTCATCTACACAAGAAGAAACATCATAGCAATAATTTTCATGAGAAGGGAGCATGACTTTAATGAATGTAAATTGGAGAAGGGGGTCATTATGTCATTATTTAAAAGTAACAAAAAGATGAAATTTTCAAAGTAAAGTCACCAAACGATTGAAAAACAATCCATAAAATGAGTTAAACAGATTAGAGTAATGTCCAATCTATAAATTGCAGCAAAATAGAGTTACATAAGCACGCATCGCCGGTAAACTAAGTTTATTTGGTTGTACACATTTTATGCATCACAAAAGATTAAAGAACATGCTATAAAATACATGTACTAGGGAGTGCATAATCATTTTTTGAGTTTATAGGGCTGTCTATACCTATAAGCAACATTAAAGAAAAGGATAAAATTGCACAAAAATAGAGATTAACTTCATATAATATTTAACAGAAACAATGAATGAATTTGAACTTAAGCGCTTCTACATAGGTGTATAAATAAATTACACAAATTAGGTTCACAAAGTTGTGCGCACTCACGTGCATCACAAAAAAAATGAACCTGAACTAAAATGGTTGTGTGCATGTGCATACAAGCCATAACTTGAGTTTAGAAAGATCTACACACCAGTGTATAATACAAATAATAATAATAAAATACTTTAAATAGTTATTCACAGTGATATATAAAAGCTAATGGACAGATAAAATAACTGTATGCAGTGCATAAATTGAATTTATGAGGTTGTACCCATCTATGAATTTACAAAAAAAGGGAAACTGGTAAGAAATTAAGTTAATAACAAGGTTATAGACATGTATAGAGACTAAATAATTGAGGAGCTGATATAAAAATAAGCGATAATTATCACATTAATTATATAATTAATTTAT